TTTATAGGTGTGAAACTATGATGAGTAGAGATGTTAAAAGGGAACGAGGTAGACCTAAAATTATATGGAAGAAAGTTGTCTTAAAAGAGCTTTAATTTTTTGGGAATCAATGTAGACTTGATTAAAGATAGGACACAATGGATGAAGAAGATTCATATATGTGATATCTACTACTCCCTCTATCCCATTTATGTGGCATAGTTGAGATTTAGAGATCAAACTTCTAAACTTTGACTGTGAATTCGAACATAGAATCGTTAACTTATTATGAGATAAAATTTTATATTTGACTAATTAATGACTTCAAATATTCATATAAAGAAATTTCGATCAAAGAAAAACTTAATTGACTCTCAAAATTCCAATTGTGCCACATAATTTGGGATGGAGAGAGTAGTTGAGAAAAAGTTTTAGTCTTGTTAGTTGGTTGATTTTGGACCTGTTGCTTTTATAGGAGTATTTTGGCCTTATTATAGATTTATATGAAAAGTAAAAATATAGAAATTTATTATTATTATTATTATTTTTACTATTATTTATATATATATTTAACATATCTTTGACTTTTATTATTTTATCTGGTAATGAGTTGAATTTAGATGAAAAAACATGTTCAATGAGGATTCAAATTCCCCGAATTACTTTGGGACTGTGGCATAGTTGTTATTGATGCAATATTGAACCAATTTGAGCTCCAACCTATCAAATCGAAAACAAATCTGAGCATTTAAGTGCGCTAACAAAGAAATTTGAGCATAGACATTCTGTACGTTCTCTCATTGTATATTAAGTTGTTACCTGTTTGCCAATAAAATTTGCACGCCGAAAAAGTTAAAGGGACAAAAATGTATAGATCTCTTTTTCTTGACTTGGGTGGAGGGATCAATATTTCCTGCCTATGATGTTTACAATCACGTTTTGTTCTCAAAAGCCTGAACCTGTGATGACTTCTTCAGCAGAACTTTTGGGGTTGGAGGGGAGGGAGATTCTTCCATCAGGGTAGATGCACGTTTACGTGCACACATTAGGTCTGCCTGTATGGGACAATAGCTGGTGTTAGTTTGAGGTCCACTCAGGAAAGGATTGCTTTTTAGCTTGTAGTACAATTAGGTTATGTTGAAGGGTTGTTTAACTGAGTAGTGAATTGTTATTTGCTTTCATCTGATTCTCGGTCTTCCTCTCACCATGTGTTGTCTATAATTAATATCATCATTTCTTTATGTGCCTCCCATTTTTGCAGTTTGGTGATTCCTTTCCTACGTTTAGGTGAATATGTGAGTGGTGGACCTCATTTTGCTTTGACCTCAGATGCATTAAAGAAGGTCTTCACTGGTAAAGCTTCGTGGGAAGTCTTGCTCAGCATTTACCATGCGGTGGGTAAACCAGTTCTCTCATTTGAAGCATCTTTTCCTCACTGTCTTTCTCTTATTCGTATTATCTTCTGATTGTTGCACTGTGATGGTCTACTTATTGAGACTTAAATCCATAGTGTAATAGTTCTAAGAAAGGATGTGCTAGGAAGTGGCAGTAATTATAACTTGCCAATGGATAACATGCAAATTTATCAGCATCTTTATGGCTGTGAATTTTACGCGATTACGCTGCATCCAAGAAAATATTACTGCAGTCAATTATTAGACAGGGTCTCTGCTGTAATCCCATGTTGCTTTCCCGTGTATTCCTTCGTATTTTTCCTCATTATTTGTAGATTAAGTGAGAGGCAAGATAGCATATGTTCTTTTACTGATTCTTCAATAGTGAACTATTTTACAGTTGTTGGGCTGGCTTGTTGCTGTACCATTCATCCTGGCAGGGCTTTATATACTATTTTTGCCATGTTTTACAATCTTGGTTCGTAAATTCAGTAGCCTTCCGCCAAGCAAAATCACAAGTGTTCCTTCAAGCCCCAAGAGAGCTGTTCCTCCAAGCCCAAGAAAAGTTGTTCAACCCCTTACAGAAGTCAGGGTTAAAGTGAGGGATGTTTAATGGACATAGAAATCAGTTTATTCTTAAATGGTAAATGAAACTTCAACGATTCCGGCATTTCTGTACATGTATCAAGTTCAGAGAAATTGACAGTGCAAACTGCTGCAAGTTATATCAAAATTATGTTTCTCTTATACAATTACCCTTCTACAGCAGGCAAGTATTTTCTTTGAATTTGGCAATATATTTGACAAGCATTTCTTGTCGTCGGTACAATTTGAAGAGATACATGCAATTTGGATCTAAGTTTTATTTATGATATTTGAATAGAACTTCAACTACAACTTGAAATTTTGATTTAAAATCCCAAGTTCACCTAAAAGAAGATCGATTCCAAGTTTTTTTCATTTTAATTTTTCTAAAATTTGAAACTTGATATACAAAAGAAGGCTCATGCTTGACATGAAGAGAATGTATCATGTGGGAGGATTATATAAAACAATAGCTAATTGGTACTGTTGTTCAGTTATTGGATCAATGAATCTTTGTAAAATTATGTGTATTTGAAAGTTTGTGATAACAGTAGAGTTGTTATTTGCCAAAACCGCACCAAAACCCTAAATTTAATTACCTTCTCCAGTGTGCATAGCTGCTATGGCCGTTGGACAGCCTCCGTCGGAGGCTACTCAACCACGAACAGTCACCAACAATCTACCATGCAACTACCTACTATCACATACGCCTCTGCACTATAATTCCCAGCACCACAATCTAAATCTGTTCTTTTGAAACCAATGTTATGTTTAAATGAAAGTGTTAGCATTTTGCCTTGATTTTCTCACTTTATTTGAAATTTATTTTTCTGTTGAAGAAAAATCAAAGTATTATCATAAATGTTTTAACTTTTCCCGAAAGGAAAATATAATTTTCTATTTACCAAGAGGAAAAGTTTGAAGATCTATAAATTGAAGATCCATATTCTCATAACATAACACAGGAACATCCACAATGTAATTCAATAAAGAGTTTTGTTTATGGAGAGATTTTCTCCTTTAACATAATTATGTTTTTCAATATTAGTTTTATAATATGTAGGTCGTTTGACCAAACTATATTAATAATATGTCTTTAGTATACTTTTATTTGTTGTTTGTCAATCATATGATTTGCAATTGTAAGCTTCCGCATGATGCCCTTTTGAACCCAACAAAAAGTTGTTTGGAAAGAGGAAGAAGTGTCCCAGATGATCATCAACAAAGACCTGCAGTATGTTGTAGTAGGGAAATTTGTATGGTTTACCTGATATTCAAGAGCTAGGTAAGTTGGATTCCAAACAATATGAATTAAAATGGGAGGTTAACATAGGATTTTTAAATAATCGCTACATGCATATTACAAGACTAAGTTAATCTATTGTCCAAACCACTTGTTTTACTTCACACATAAGTAATAAGAGCCCTTAAATGAGGAAGAAACTATGATTGCAATTGCTTGGATCTCATTCCCATCTTTGCCTCCAAATTTGTTATGGATGCATTATTCTCATTGGCATCGGTGATAGAAAGCCTTTGTAGGTTGATATGGCGACTCACAACAAAACAAGACCTAGTTGTGCTAGGGTTAGAGATAAAAGTGAATTTGCTAAGTGAATTTCCAAAACGCGTTAATGTTAGGAATGGAAGAGTAAATAAGGGAGAATTAATAAAAATCAACTATGACTACACCCAACTATTGCAAGAATTGTAAGTTGCAACGGCATTTTTCTTGCTTTATATTCATTATGTCTCATCATTATAGATAGTGATTCATTTCATTATTATTTTGTTCGTAAGATCTAACTCATGTGTCCTTAAACCACCTAACAAATTCAATTATATCATTTTCTGAGTGAACTTACAGGACATCAGAATAGGTATGGAACACTTCAATGCAAAATTTAGAGAAGTTGAGTCTTATACATTTTAGGGTGTCTCAATAACTTATACATTTTATAGGATGTAAGTGATTATCTTCAGATACGCCATTACAAGTCGTGTGATGTTTAGGTCAGCTTGTGCACACCCCGGTCAATACCACAGGATACATGTCAATCCCACCACCAACATGTACCAAATAATTGTTCACCAAAACAGAACAGATGAGAAGGTATTACCTAGTATTTTATTTTTTTTTATCTCTGGTATGATTTGAATATGAGACCTATGTGTCTAGTAGTAGTTGATTGAATCCTCTTGGTCTCTTTTTTAACTTACTTCAAACTACTCATTATACATATCATTCACTTGCCAAATATTCTACATCAACCATCAAGGTTCCATCTGCTCCAAAAATGCCCGCATTTTGTGGTAGTACAGAACCTTTCATAGTGTAAGTGCCCATTTAGATTAGCTTATTTTTAGATGTTTTTTGACTTTTAAGCACTTTTTTTAATTTTGGAAAGATTAAAAAGTGCTTTTAAGCAAAAAAAGGTTAAAAAAATAAATCAAAAGCCAAAAGTAGGATACCCTCTATATGACTTAGAAGTTACTTTTTATAAACCCATCCAAATAAGCCCCAAGTCTATTTTCCCAAAGAGTTGAAGTTCTATACATTAATAGTCAATTGAAAAATAGTAGTTATTCATAATTAAGGAAATTAGTAATATGAAAGATAAGACCAATAAGACAAGTAACCTGCTATTATAGGATAAATAAAACACTCTGATATATGAGTTAAATCCTCCCCAGAAAAAGCCGTTCATCTACTAATTTAGGAATAAGAAGAGGAACTGATAGATAAAAAAATATCCTTCATAATAATTCTGATAAAAAGATGAACTAGAAATCAAGTGCATAGCTTACCAAGAACTGGCATAATTTGCTTAAACAACATAGTCAGAGGCAGAGCTAGGTAGGGTTCATGGGTTCGTACGAACATAGTAGCTTTTTTGTGGCCCTATATTTGTACTAGAAAATAATTAAATATATATGTATATTAATTTGTGAACCCCTAACAAGATTGATAGACCGTTATTAACGAAATTTAGAACCCCCAAACTCTTAATCCTGGCTTCGCCTCTGATTATATAGTAGTACAACAATAATCTCCTTTACAGCAATAACACTGGCTGATCTAAGGCCCAGTCTGTCAGGAACTTATACTAACGCCAACCTTTTTCATTAGTGAACTTCAAATTGCTGCCTGCAAACAGTCTAAAATTAACATTTCACGAAGCCATTTTAACAATATCTATCAGCAATCTCTCCCGAAGCTTCAATCCTGCAATATATTCCAGCATCGATCCACATGTAGCGGTCAAATGTGGCGCTACTTCAACATGTAAAGATGATAACGCGAGAAAAGAACACTTAATGTTGTATTCGTTAGCTGATGGGTGTTGTTATCCTATGTCCGTCCTTCTATGTCTTCTAAAACCAACTATTTAGGCAAATGATTTATTGGATATGTAAAACTCAGGCCTCTTCTCGCTTGCAATCCTTGGTTTACTTTTCCCATTCCACTAGCAGAGCTCAAATTTTTTCAGTTGACCTATTTTTTGAATAATATAACTTGTCCTCAAGGGGACAAAGAAAAACCTTCCGCGAGGCATTGTGTCCTCACGTCTTGCATAAGGCGTTGAAGTAAAGAAGGACTGCTTGTAACAATAGCATCCACCCGCTCAAATAACATTTTCTTCATGGAGTCCTCATCATCAACAGTCCATGCATAAACCTTTTTATTCCTCCTGTTGCAATTAAGAAAAGCATAAATCATAAAGGTTAGATAACTGCATTTGTGCATCAAGAGCAAGTGCTGTTATGATGCATCATGCACCATGTAACTGATTAAGTTCATACCCCTGGAGAATTTTCATGAGAGGCTCGTCAATTAAAGGATGGTAAACACCAACAACTGCAGCACCTCTCATTCTTAATAACTTCATCCTAGTTCCTGTTGAAGGGTCTATCATGACAATGTAACCTACCTGCAGAACTACCACACATCACCCTCACATAAAACAAGCTACAATCAGTTCCAACTTATCTAGAACAGAATATATAGGGATAACACTTCAGCCTGCAAGTTTATGATGCAACAGGAGTTTGTAAACCTACACCAAATTTAGTGTATGCTAGTCAAACCACTGTTTTAGTTTTAAGCTTTAGATCAGCCAAAGTATTACTCTGTCCCAAATTAAGTCTTAATTTCTACTTCCAGTTGTCCCAAAATCAACTCCACCTTCATGGAGGTTTTTCCTGTCATTGACAATACTTTTTCTTCATACAATTATCCAAAAGACACCATGGGATTCACTTTCGTTCTAAAAGTACTCAATGTTTTCGAAAAATCAACTTTACCTAACTTTTGGAAACCCAACCCCCCACCCCCACTTCATTCAACTAGGATATTACATCCAATTTGTTTCTTAATAGTCGTTTCCAAACCACATAAGACACCTAATTTGGAATGGAGAGTACTATTTTAAGGAATAGCAATCGACTCTATGCAAAACAATTTCTGATTTAGTATTAAGTTAAACAGAGAGCAACCATAGACACGCCCCTCTATTTTTCCAAATTGATAGTTTTGAAAAAAAGAAGAGATTTTCCAATTAAAGTGACATTTTGAAAAGGGATTATTTATTATACAGAGTCGCCACTTGAAATTCAGTTTTGGTGTTCCAAGTCACTTTTGAACCCCTATTCAAAAGGAAATTGACTCTATTTTTATTGGTCTGCGAACTGAGAGTCTAGGTAAGGAATTCTGTTAACCGAGAGGAAGGTGTCAGGCACCCCTCGAGTCCCGTGGTTTTAACACAGTTGCTTTATTGACTTAAGATAATTTTGAATACATTATATTTATTAGCTTAATATTAAAAAAAAGTTATTTATCCTTCTTCTCTAATAAAAAGAACTCATTAAAAACTGTCTTATTTAATTTACATGTGGTGTATTGGTAGCAATGTTTTCCAACCTTGCCACAAATTGTTTGTATCTTGCATCTTTAACACATTTACGAAACATTTTCATTTTTCCAAACTTAAAAAAATATTTAGTTTTAGGTCATTTATTCATCTCTTGTCAATTCGACACAATTAAACTTATCTAATTTATTTTATGCTATTTATTCTTTAAAAAAAACTTTCTTTTCATTTTTTTTAAACAATGGAACTTGAGTTACAAAAATATGTGACCTTAAAGATTTAAAACTTAGATAAAACCAATAAAATATATATTCAAACCCATCAAAGCGCAATTAAATGAAGTTAATATCACAAATATTTAACAAGGTACTCGAATTTATTAAAATCGCAAGCGAAATCGTAACTGAGCTAAAAGCAAAGGATTAAACGAGACATGACATTAAGTTGGTTGTTGTCCTGTGAGATAGTCTTCATTTACAATATCAAAATTATAAACATAATTACAATTTTTTTATCCAGATTTAATCAATTACTAAAAAAATCAAGTTTTTCTTTGTCATAAAATTTTTTGCAAGACACTCATAACATATACATTTTTTATTCACAGCCTAATCAATTCTTACAAAGAATAATAAATTATTATACACATAGTGAAACTAGTTTTTTTTTATAAGTGGGTGATAAATTAATACAAGAAAATAAGAAAGACAAATCAGTAAGATTGAAATATTTATCCAAACTTAATTGCTTCAGCAAAGGGCTTTTCCATTGCGGCAAGCAGGTAATATAAGTAGTTGGGCACTTGAGTTTGGAGGAAAACATCAATTCATGATCTTTCATTCGCGGTTTGACTCTAGTTGCTTGCTCTCTCCATTTTATGGCATATTCCCTAAAGCTTCCCGTTTCTTCATATTAGTGAGAGAGTTGCGATCTAGAACAATGTCAATATTATATTGAAATTACTGGACAAAATCATGAGACATGTCGTCCCAAACATGCCAATAAGAAATATCTTGATCGGTGAACCATTTTGAGGCCACCCCTGTTTCTCCAAAGTAAGCCATAAGGAGTTCTTCTTTCCCTCCTGCTCCCCTTAGTTGATTACAAAATCTCTTCAGATGAGCTACTGGGTCACCATGATCGCTATACTTGTTGAACTTTGGTGTTTTGAACCCAATAGGTAGGTGACTATGCATAAGTCCTTAAATGAGACACTCATGTGCCCTCTTAGTCCTTATATTTTGCTCCATACTCCATCTTTTTAGCAATTTCTTCATGTTACTCGTTCATAGTAGTTTTCTCAACCTCGACAGGGAATTGTACTGATTAGTGTGGTGGTAGAGTAAGGAATTTTAAGAGTCAACTTAGAGGCATAACCTTGATCTTTGGATGGAGGATCATCGTTGGGTTTTGGTACCAGTGTTGGTTGGGGGATTGTATTAGTCTGTGTATTATGCATGAAAAGTGGATTGTTCATCATGGGCGGATTCAACAGGCGTACTGCGGAAGTTCCAACAGTACTGGACGTGTTAACAAATGGGCCAAATCCAGGTGGATAAACTGGGTCACTTGGATATGAAATGACATATTTGCATTCAGATATTCACGAATTGAAGATGGAGAAGCTTGTCCATTCATCCAAGCTTCGTACATTTCAGCCATTTGTTGTCTCAACATCCTTACTTCTTCTAAGGATATCGATTCTTGTGAAACCATCTCATTGTCCGACTCTATTCCGTCTTTGCGGGTCATTTTCGATTTTCCTTTTGTAGTATGGATGAGATGTCAGCTTAAACACAAACCAACCACCTTTAAACTCTCTTTATAAACAAAAACTAACGTGTTAGGGTTTTGCAAATATTAATCACACGTATGTTATGCACCTAAATTATTCCATAATGAGTTTCAGAAGGCTTTTCTGTTTCATCCGGGCTTTAGATGAATTTATTTTAACGACTCTCTTATGTCTTTTAATCGCATAATTTACTCATTTGGGTATCTTGAAAGTATTTCGATCGAACCCGTTGAGGTCCTACGTATCATGTTGAACATGAACTATCATTACGTAGTTCATGGAGGAAAAGTGTTTGAGCACAACATTTATTTAACTAGAAGAAAACATCATTCAAATCCAAAGTATTCTTAAAACAAATAACCAAAATAAAAACACTTAAAATTGCAACAAACTCGACGAAATGGAAATAAAAGAATAACAATAATAAAAAGAGGCCATCTCTAGGAGTTCTGGATCATCAATTTCCTCCTAGGCTCGAATAGACTTTGAACAAGGCTTTCGGCAGATGTGGGGCTAGTGCACGCCCATGTCGACCCAGACTCTCATCACTCCGATGGAGATAACCACCATAGACATCAATTAAGTTCTCTGTGAGTTGGAGCACTTGTCCTTTGGCTTCCTCCATATTCTCATATGACAGTTTCGCAACCAATCTTGAGTAGTATTGACCGCATGGTTCAAATTCTCTTCTTGTGCCTGAAGCTCTTCAATTTAGTCATGAAGCTCGTCTTGCTCTCCCATCCATTGGTTTCTTTCGATCGCAACTTTTGCTTGATATAATGTGAAATGCTTCGCTATGTCCCTTTTAATTGATTTTGCAACCTAGACTGTGTGTACATTAATAGGGTCTTCTCTTTTTTAAACTTATCCTCTGTCGCTCCATAGCGCCTATGACAATGCCCAAATCCTCATGTAATGTTTGAATGGTGGAACGATGTTCTCTCTCAACCCATTGCTGAACCATCCTTGCTCTAGCTTCAGATTATGCATCATATTGGGTCAACTCTTCTCTAACATTCTCAAGGTCATTAGTCAGGACATCTAGAGTAGCCTTGTAATTCCTTCAACCTCGAGTCGAGCTTGTTTGATTCTAACCTCAACTTCTACCTCTCTTTCTATGGCTCCCTTTCCCAACCTTTCTGGCATAACCTTAAGTGGGGGTTGATCATAAAACCATCCCAAGTATGAGTGGTCCACCTCACCCTTGTTGCGATCCTCCACCCTGTCAGAGGGACTTGAGAGTATGCATCCTCCCCAAATCTTAAGTATTTCTGAACTTCCAAGAGGGATGTTGGGGCGAAACTCATACCTAAAGATTTTGGGAGGATGTATACTCTCAAGTCCCTTTGACAGGGTGGAGGATCGCAACAAGGATGAGGTGGACTAGTCATACTTATGATGGTTTCATGATCAACCCCCACTTAAGGTTATGCCAGAAAGGCCGGGGAAGGGAGCCATAGATCGAGAGGCAGAAGTCAAGGCCAGAATCAAACAAGCTCGACTCGAGGTTGAAGGCAATTACAAGGCTACTCTAGATGTCCTGACTAATGACCTTGAGAATGTTAGAGAAGAGTTGGCCCAATATGATGCAAGATCTAAAGCTAGAGTAAGGATGATTTAGCAACGGATTGAGAGAGAACATCGTTCCACCATTCAAACATTACATGAGGATTTGGGCATTGTCACAGGCGCTATGGAGCGACAAGAGGATGAGTTTATAAAAGAGAAAACCCTATTAATGTACACACAATCTAGGTTGCAGAATCAATTAAAAGTTTTGATGGAACGAGAAAGGGATAATATAGCGAATCATTTCACATTATATCAAGCAGAAGTTGCGACCGAAAGAAACCAATGGATGGGAGAGCGAGACGAGCTTCATGACCAAATCGAAGAGCTTCAGGCACAAGAAGAGAATTTGAACCACACGATCGATACTACTCAAGATTGGTTGCGAAACTGTCATAATATGGAGGAAGCCAAAGGACAAGTGCTCCAACTCACAGAGAACTTAACTGATGTCTATGGTGGTTATCTCCATCGGAGTGATGAGAGTCTATGTCGACATACGCGTGCACTAGCCCACATCTATTGAAAGCCTTGTTCAAAGTCTATTCGAGCCTAGGAGGAAATTGATGATCCAGAACTCCTAGAGAGGGCCTCTTTTTATTGTTATTTCTTTTATTTTCATTTCGTCGAGTTTGTTGCAATTTTAAGTGTTTTTATTTTGGTTATTTGTTTTAAGAATACTTTGGATTTGAATAATGTTTTCTTCTAGTTAAATAAATGTTGTGCTCAAACACTTTCCCTCCATGAACTACGTAATGATCTGATTCATGTTCAACATGATACGTAGGCAAGCCTCAACGGGTTCGATCGAAATACTTTCAAGGTACCCAAATAAGTAAATTATGAGACTAAAAGACCTAAGAGAGTCGTTAAAATAAATTCATCTAAAGACGGGATGAAACATAAAAGCCTTCTGAAACTCATTATAGAAATGGAAATAATTTAGGTGCATTAACATACGTGTGATTAATATTTGCAAAGCACTAAACCCTAACACGTTTGTTTTTTTTTTTATAAAGAGAGTTTAAAGGTGGTTGGTTTGTGTTTAAGTTGGCATCTCATCCATACTACACAAGGTTAAAAGGAAAAGTGAAAATGACCCGCAAAGACAGAATAGAGTCAGATAATGAGGAAGTCCAAAATCAGATGGTTTCACAAATATCAGTATCGGTAGAAGAAGGATGTTGAGACGACAAAGGGATGAACTGTACGAAGCTTGGATGAATGGACAAGCTCCTTCATCTTCAATTTGTGAATATCTGAATGCAAATATGTCATTTCTTATCCAAGTCTCGGCAAGTGACCCAGTTTATTACACCTGGATTTGGCCCATATGTTAACACGTCCAGAACTGCTGGAACTTCCGCGGTATGCCCGTTGAATCCGTCCATGATGAATAATCTACTTTTTATGCATACTACACAGACTAATACAATCCCCCAGCCAATACTGGTAACAAAACCAAACGATGATCCTCCATCCAAAGATCAACAAGACCAAAGTAATGCCTCTAAGTTGACTCTTAAAATTCCTCAGTCTTACCACCACACTAATCAGTATAGTTCTTCCCCTGTTGAGGTTTAGGAAACTACTAAGAACAAGGAACATGGAGAAATTGCTAAAAAGATGAGGAGTCTAGAGCAAAATATAAAGACTAGGAGGGCACAAGAGTGTCTCATTTAAGGACTTATGCATGTTCACCTACCTATTGGGTTCAAAACACCCAAGTTCGACAAGTATAATGGTCATGGTGACCTAGTAGCTCATCTGAAGAGATTTTGTAATCAACTAAGGGGAGCAGGAGGAAAAGAAGAACTCCTTATGGCTTGCTTTGGAGAAAGACTGATAGGGTGGCCTCAGAATGGTTCATCGATCAAGATATTTCTCATTGGCATGTCTTGGACGACATGGCTCAGGATTTTGTCCAACAATTGCAATATAATATTGACATTGTTCTGGATTGCAATTCTCTCGCTAATATGAAGAAAAAATCAACTGAAAGCTTTAGGGAATATTCCATAAAATAAAGAGAGCAGGCAGCTAGAGTCAAACCGCCAATGAGAGATTATGAATTTTTTGATGTTTTCATCCAAAGTCAAGTGCTCGACTACTTTCATTACCTGCTTGCATAAATGGGAAAGTCCGTCGCTGAAGCAATTAAGTTTGGAGAAATGTTTCAATCTTACTGATTTGTCTTTCGTATTTTCTTGTATTAATTTATCACCCGCTTGACCCCACTTGGTGGGATTTCACTGGGTATGTTGTTGTTGTTGTAATTTATCACCCGCTTATAAAAAAAATAGTTTCACTATGTCTATAATAATTTATTATTCTTGTAGGAATTTATTAGGCTGCGAATAAAAATTGTATTATGTTATGCGTGTCTTGCAAAAAATTTAATGATAAAGAAAAACATGTCAAAACTTGATTTTTTTAGTAATTGATTAAATTTGGATAAAAAAAATTGTAACTATGTTTAGATTTTTTGATATTGTAAATGAAGACTATCTCACAGAACAACAACCAAAGATTTAATATCATGTCTCGTTTAATCCTTTGATTTTAACTCAGTTACGATTTCCCTTGCAATTTTAATAAATTTGAGTACCTTGTTAAATATTGTAACACCAAAACTTAATTTCCAATAAGGTGACTTGGAACACCAAAACGTAATTTCAAGTGGTGACTCTGAAATAAAATAATCCCTTTTCAAAATAGTCACTTTTAACCCTTCGGGGTGGCCCAGTGGTTTGAGCTTGGGACTTCCATGTTGGAGGTCTCAAGTTCGAAACCCCTTGCTTGCGAAAGCAAAGGGTTTGCCTTCTGGGTCGAGCTCGTCGCACCAGGCTTGCCTAGTGTGGGTTATCTCTCCTGTGTGGTTTGCGAGTTATTGCATAGGAGCGGGGGTTACCCTGGGCGCACCCAAAGGGTAGTGGCAGCAGGTTTCCCTTGTCATAAAAAAAAAATAAAAAAAAATAGTCACTTTAATTAGAAAACCATTTTTTCAAAACTTTCATTTGGGAAAAATAGGGGTGTGACACATAGCGCTCACTGAAAAGATGCTTTAGAAACTCATTGAACTTGTTCCTTGGATTGCCACCTCTCCTACCGCACTCAGGGTGCAAGTACGGCTGGATTGAGCTAACCCAGCATTCTTTCACAGGTTAAAGCGAAATTTAGCAAAATAAGGTCAAGAAAATGAGATTTTAGATACAGTTTCCTCTATTTGCATGACAAGGAAAAGCATCACCACAGACCAGTATTATCAATTGCCAAAGCCACTTATAAAATGGGTGACATGCAAGGAACTGAGAAGTTGTGTTCTTCAAAACAGAAGAAGAAAACTAGATATTACCATAACATCTGATGACAGTTTCATTACATCTCTTGAAAAACTGTCACTTTTAGCCCATACAAGGCAATTTCTACAGCCTGTATTGTCAACCTGTAAAAGTTTGATAAAAGAGTGAGAGCACAAACACAAACCTCAGTAACATAAAAATAAAACATTACATTTAAGTTGAAATGGTCAGGGGTGGTAAGTGGGTTACAGGAGCTTCGAGGCTAAGAGTAGTATCTTGGAACATAGGGTCGTTAACATAAAAGTCCATAGAAATAGTGAAGATTCTCATGAAGAGGAGGATTAGTATAGCTTGTGTCCAAGAAACCACATGGGTAGGAACTAAGGCTCGGGATGTGAATGGGTATGAGTTGTGGTACTCAGGAAGTGCAAGGAATAGGAATGGAGTAGGCATTCTGGTAGATAGGGAGCTAGTTGAGGAGTTGAGGGAGCAAGTGGTAGAGGTCAGGAGGGTCAACAGCAGGATGATGGCGGTTCAGTTAGTCCCAAATGGTAGAGGCTAGGAGGAACAACATAATGATGGCAGTTAAGTTAGTCATTTAGTCATTTGAGGATTCACTTGGAACATTATTAACAATTACACGCCACATGCGGGCTTGAACAAGGAGGACAAGAAACACTTTTGGGAAGATTTGAACGAGATGATCAGGGGTATGTCGCGCATGGGGAAGCTTTTCGAAAGAGGAGATTTTAACAGACACATCGGGTCAACCCCAAGGAGTTGCGACAATGTGCAAGGATGTTTTAGTTCCAGGGATAGGAATGTAGGAGGAGTTGCAGTTTTGAATTTTGCAAAAGCTTTTGGGTTAGTGGTAGCCAAATTGAGTTTCGCGAAGGAGGAGCATTTGGCAACTTTTCATAGTGCAGTGGCTATAAATCAGAAAGATTACTTGCTCTAATATGATAGTGGTCTTTGTAAAGACTGCAAGGTTATCTTGAGTAAGAATCTCACAATTCAACACAAGTTCTAGGAGATGGATTTGGAGATCAAGAGGACGAAGAAGAGCAGGGTCGTGGATGAATGGTCAAGGATCAAATAAGGTAGCTTGACAATGGCCAATGACTAGGAGTTGGAGAAGAAGTTGTTGGCAATGGGGGAGGACTGAGGATGTGAATGGTATGTGGGATAGGATTGGTAGTTGCATTTGGATAGCAACTAAAGAGGTGTTTGGAGTCTCCCAAGGTAACTTTGGTAGGCATCAAGGGGATTAGTGGTAGAATAAGGATGGGAAAGTGAAAGCAAAAGAATTGGCTTATGTGAAGTTGGTAGAGAGTCAGGACAAGAAGAAGAAATGAATGAATAAGGAAAGGTATAGGATGATGAGAAAGGAGGCAAAGTTCGCGGTTTCAATGACAAAAACAACAGGTTTTGAATGTTTATATGTAGAGCTTGAGGACAAAGGGCGAAGATAAGAAGTTGTATAGGCTAGTCACGACGAGGGAGGGTAAAGACTTGTGTTAGGAGATTTGGAACATTTCGAAAGGTGTTGCGATTTTGGGTATTGTAGGTGTATACAGGTTGAAAAGGTTAATGGTGTTATTCATAGGATGCGCAGGGGGGAGAGTGATCGGACCATATGAGATTACCGTAGAATTTTGGAAAAGTGCAAACAGGGAAGGTATGGAATGGCTGACTAAGTTGTTTAATATCATTTTAAGGACATCAAAAATACCAAAAAAATGGAGGTGGAGTACAATGATCCCATTGTACAAGAACAAGGGAAACATTTAAAATTGCATCAACGGTAGGAGTATCAAACAACTAAGCCACACTATGAGGGTTTGGGAGAGGGTGGTGGAGATGAAGGTGAAGAGGCGCGTGTCTAGATTGAAAACCTATTCAGTTTCATGTCGAGGCGTTAAACTACAGAAGCCATTCATCTAGTTAGGAGACTAGTGCAGCAATATAGGGAGAGGAAGAGGGACCTTCACATGGTGTTCATCGACCTAAAAAAAGCTTATGACAAGGTTACAAGGAGGTTTTATGGAAGCGCCCGAGGCTAAAGGAGTTCCTATGACATATACTAGAGCGATTAAGGACATGTACAATGGAGTCAAGACCCAGATAGACAATGGGTGGGGACTCAAAAAACTTCCCAATTGTGATAAGGTTGCAATCAACTCTTAGCCCTTTTTTATTTGCCTCGGTGAGGATGAATTGACTCAGCGTATCCAAGGTGAGGTGCCATGGTGTATATTATTTGCAGATGACATAGTTTTGATCGATGAGACTCACAACGAAGTTAACACTAAGCTTGAGGCTTGGCGACAAACCTTGTAGTCTAAAGGGTTTAGGTTGAGCAAGACCAAGATAGAATATTTGAAGTGCAAATTCAATGAAGTAACACATGAGAATGTTGTGGAAGTGAGGCTTGGTTCACATGTCATCCATAAGAAAGGATGTTTCAAGTATCTTGGGTCTATAACCCAAAGTAATAGGAAAATCGACGAGGATATCACACGCATCGTATTAGTGCAGGGTGGATAGAACGGAGGCTCGCATTCAAAGTCTTATGTGATAAAAAGGTGCCACAAAAAATTAAAGGCCAGTTCCACATAGTAATGATTAGACCGGCTATGTTGTATGGAGCAAAATATTGGCCAGTCAAGAACTCCCACGCTCAAAAGTTGAAAAAGTTGTAGAAATGAGGATGTTGAGTTGGATGTGTGGGCACACTAAGAGAGATAAGATTAGAAATGAAGATATTCAGAATAAGGTAGGAGTGACGTCGATGGAGGATAAGATGCAAGAAGCGAAACTTAAATGGTTCAAGCATGTAAGGAGGAGATGCAAGGATGCACCAGTGCAGAGGTGTGAGAGGTTGGCTATGGATGGTTATAGGAAAGATAGATGTAGATCGAAGGAGTATTGGGGAGAGATAAATAGACAAGACATGATACAGCTCCAGTTTAATAGGACATGACCTCAAATAGAAGATTATGGAGAACACAAATTAGCGTAAAGGGTTAGTTAGGTAATTGAGAGTTGTCTTGCTTAGTCTTTCATTAGTATTACTCTAGGAGAATCTTGTTATTCATTTCTATTACTACATATTGTTTCTAGCACTTCGATTATCGTATTATTTTGTGGTAGTGATTGTTATGTTTTAGTATGATTTTCATGCTTTCTTTAGCTTGTTTTCTTGGCTTCTTCATTCATGTTGTTTTCTTTATTCAAACTACTTTGTACTACTTTAACTTGAGCCTACGGTCTATCAAAAACAACATCTCAACCTTAAGGTCTGCATACACACTACCCTTCCAAGACCCCACTTGTGGGATTACACTGGGTATGTTAGTTTTGTTGCTAAGTTGCAATTCTAGACAACACAGTCGGTGGCATACACCATCCTATAATTCGTACCAATAACAACAATTGAAGCATGTACTAGCTTGTCTTTTTTTAGAACCACATGTAATCAATTAGCAGTCTTCAAAAGTCAGAATGCTAATTAACCCTTTCTGAAAAGTAAGTGAGCAGTTTATATGAATAAAGTAGGACAAAGATTGTGCAATGGGTAAATCAGGATCCGCACAAGTTTTTCAGTTTCTATATTCTAGGAACCTTCCGAAAGAACTCAGCTCCTATCTACTCCAGTCTGAGAAATAACTGAAAAAAATCTAAAAAGCTGTCTATGTCATATACATTCTCCATGTTGCACCAAACGGCTAAGAGAGACAAGATATTGAACTTCTGCTTGTGTGTGTTCTCTCTAGACAGAATGTTAATAAACTCCCAGTTACAGGTAAACTGATCATGCATGGTGACTAGCCAAATATTTTTGACTTTTCTAGTGGGATGACATCCATAGAAAAGCATGAAATTCCTCCTACTCGCAAGTTAAAGGTAACAAGACAGACCATATTACATGTCTCAATCAGTTGGTCCTACAGAAGAAGTAGAAATGAACTTCTTCATCTTCTTTCTCAGCTCAAAAGATAAGAGAAAAAAACAGAAGAAGAAAGAAGTGAAGTAGAAATGAACTTTTTGGATTAACAGCTGGGTTGCAAGTCTCCATCTTATATAGATTCACAACTAGGCTGTGAAGAGTCCCACATCGAGGGTAAAAAAGGTATGGGTGGTGTCTTTATATGTCTTGGAAAATCCTCACCTCTGAAGCTAGCTTTAGGGGTTGAGTTAGACCCAATATCATAACACAGTATTAGAGTGAAGAGTCCTACATCGAGGGTAAAAGGGATGGGTGAGTCTTTGTATGGCTTGGACAATCCTCACCACTTGAGCTAGCTTTTGGTTGAATTAGGCCCAAGATCTATTTTCCTAACATAGGTTAATGTTTCCACCAACAAGAGAAACCATATCATACATGTTCAAGCAAACTTGTTGGCCAGTATGGTAACTATCTGGAAGAATGAGATTAATAAACTTACAACAGAAAGAAGATCCTTTGCAAACTCTCTCTCATACAACGGTGGACCAACTTTTGCATCAAGAATTACTTGTCGGACGGAACCTGATATCAACTAAAGGAAATTAAAGCCAAGTTATTAAACAAATAGTGGGAAAGCCTTTTTACTGGAAACAACAAAAGGAATTTTATGCAGCTATTATATTGTTATAACAATAAAATTCAATGGACAACATGAACATCTCTAATAGCTTCTACAAATATTACACACTAGTGGGAGATAAAATAGTGACTTTTATTTCTTGAGAGACGAGAATGAAAGAAGGGGCCTGAATCATGAGAACACTATTCAAGCTTGGATATTCCGAGTACCTTTAATGCATCTTCAAGTGTTGGAACAGTTAGATCATGATGCTCCAACTTAAGCTGATGAACTGCATCTAGATCTTTAATCTACAAGTACAAAGTAAAGATAATCCCATTCAACATCAACTTTAATAGGATGTATGCCAGCTTGTTGGACAGAAGCAAAATAAAAAATGCAATAGAGCTATTAAATTACGAGGTGTTACTAAATCAAATATTTGAAACACATGGACATGGAGAAATAACAATCTACTACTTGCTTCAGACTTAAGTAAATAAAAAATTGAGCACCTATCAGTTCCCACCTCCTTTGAGCTAAGGTATGAAACTTTAGAATTGTTGTTCCCAGTTATCCATTGCAAATCCCTGCCTGCGACATGTGAAAATCAATGCTCCAGACAACTAAAACAGTGAAACAGTTGTTATAATAAAATTACAAATGAATGTCGTGAATTATGTGTCATCTTATCTTCTTGCAGGAAATGGCTCTAAACTATGAAGCATTGAACCAAATCTTAGGTTGTATAGCCAGCTTTGACCCAAAATATGCAAGGAAAATCCAAAAAAAACACGTATTTCGAGGAAAAACACATGTTTCGAGTAGAGGACAATTTATGCAATGAAGCTCAATTTTAATGTGGTAGAAAATATCAACTTCCATTTTTATAAGAAAATACCAACTTAACGGGCCTCTTAAACATGCAAGGTTCCTACCACTAGCCAGCATGTATTCGTCCTACTCTACTTCACATTTACAGATACTTTTACAACTTCAAACTATGTTTCTCATGGGAATTCTTGGATTGAATAAGGTAGATCTTTTGTCCAAAAAATCATTTGCTTTCATCATGTGACCTTTCTCCACATAAAATAAATATTTATAGTAGCAATACTTATTTGGGAAAAACATTTGATCGGTCAACCCTTTTGGCACCACCTTTACCTCATGGCTCAATGCATATATTAACTACTAAAGTTTTGTCACAAATGGTATCCCTGAGTTTTAAGCCCACATACCGGTCATGGAGGGCAAACAATACACCATCTGAAGAACGAGAAACATCAATTTCAATACAGTCAGCCTGAGAATCAAGAGCAATTCGGTATGCAGCCATCTACATGAACAATACAATAATCAGAATTCCAAATAATGAAGTTGGGAATAATTTTGCATACAGAATTCCTACAGTGTTGGGGAAGGCCTTGGACGAATCACCACCATGAGCACAGACCAGAGGAAGACTCCGTAGCCAACTGCATTTCTGTGATTGCATCTGCACAATTATGTAAGGTTTGAAATAGTTAGGGAACAAAAATTGCACACCCAAAAATGTAGAAAGAAAGAGTAGGATATACCTTCTGAAATGTTCGGAGACGAAGATGGAAGTAAATAGGGGGAGGAATGGCGATGAAGGCGAGGACAATGAGGAGAGATCTGAAGACCTTTCTGGAAGTGAAAACTCTGAGCTTTGGGCTAAACTTTCGGGACAAGAGGCCATGCCTCTCCAACAGGAGTCGGCGCTGTTGCCGCCTCTCCATTTTTCTATTCAACAAATTCCCCTTCTCAATATCTGTTGGTTGATGCACAAAAATGCCGTCCTCTTCTACAGAAATTGCAAATCCACCGGCAGTGAAACTCGTTTGGCCTGACTTTTTTATTTATTTATTGGTTCATATTATTGTAGCTTTACTTTCCTTCTACTGTAGAGACATTTTTTATTACTATCAATTTTTTATTTTGTATCCGATATTTGTATTAAAATTTGATAAGGGCTTTGTTCGAAGAGATATATTGTCTATCAAGAATTTTTCATACTCATAGCTTGAACTCGAAACCTCTAGTTAAGCGAAAAACAACAACATCCTTTGCCCCATCATTTACTTGAGGAAAAACCTAAATTGGTGTGTCGAAAAATTTAAATTAATTTTTTTATATTTGTTAATTAATTAGTATTGTTATATTATCATTATTTTTAATTATTTATATGCATGTGTAATTATAACTCAACCACTTTCTTCAATTTCTTAAAACTCATCCAAAAAATTAAATTTAAATTTTTTGACATATCCATTTTGGTTTTTCCTCAAATAAATAATGGGACAGAGGATGATGTTGCTTCTCGCTTAACTAGAGATTTCGAGTTCAAATTTTGAGTATGGAAAATTCTTGATAGGCAATATATCTCTCTAAACAAAGTCTACACAATGCAAATTTGAAATAATCAAATTTTATTGTAAATATTGAATGCAAAATAAAAAAAAAATATTATACAAAAGTAAAATTATATTAAGAGTTAACATAACAAGTAAAAGAAATGCAAGAAAGAGTTGTGAGGAAAAAGAAAAAGTAGAAAAAAGGATAAAATGGATGAGAAAAGACAAACTCTAACTCCCCTTATCCTAACATCAGTGTAGGATTTCTGACAATTCTGCACCGTCTTCAACCTCTCTTGAATCACTTTCACCTTCTCTATAGCTTGATGAACTAAATCTGGTCTTATCAACCCAGCTTCACCAACTTCAAACCATCCAATAGGAGATCTGCATCTTCTCCCATAAAGAGCTTCATAAGGAGCCATTTGGATGCTAGAGTGGTAACTATAATTGTAAGCAAACTCGATGAGAGGTAGGTGATCATCCTAATTACCTTTGAAATCGATCACGCACGCCCTCAACATATCCTCTAAGGTCTGAATAGTGTGCTCTGCTTTCCCATCAGTCTGAGGATGAAATGTGGTACTTAAGTTCACCTTTGAACCCAAGCCTTTTTGGAATGACTTCCAAAATTGTGTAGTAAATTACACACCTCGGTCTGAAGTAATGGAGACCAGAACCCCATGAAGTCTTACCACATCTTGAAGATACAACTTAGCATAGTCTTCTACTACTGAATGGGTAGTCTTTACCGGTAAAAAGTGGGCCGATTTTGTCAATCTGTCGACAATCACCCAAATAGAATCATGCTGCCTGCGAGACCTCCCACTTCCATTTTAGAAGTTCTATATTTTGAGCCAAACCACCGGGCCTTTGATGTTCTACTTTAACTTGTTGGCAATTCGGCCACTTAGCAACAAACTCTGCAATGCCCTTCTTCATGCTACTCCACCGATAAACCTCTCTCAAATCGCGATACATCTTTGTGGAACCCGGATGAATGGAATATCTGGAGCTATGAGCTTTCTCCATGATCCTCTCTTGGAGTTCATCCACCCTTGGTACACACAATTTGCTTTGATACTTCAATACACTATCTCTCCCTTGTTCAAAAGCCATAACTTTCTGCTTATGAACATTTGCCTTTAATTTAAGCAAAATGGGATCTTGGTCCTGCTTCTCTTTTACTTTTGACACTAATGATGATTCATCCCCATTCATCACCCCTACCTCTCCTTCTGTGGAATCCATTAGTCAAACTCCCAAGTATGCAAGTCTATGCACATCTTTCGCTAACTCTCTCTTTTCTTCCTCAACATAGGTTGTACTACCCATAGACAACCTGCTTAAAGCATCAGCAACAACATTAGCCTTACCTGGGTGATAAAGAATACTCATGTCATAATCCTTGAGTAATTCTAACCACCTCCTTTGTCTGAGATTAAGCTTTTTCTGAGTGAACACCTATTGAAGGCTCTTGTGATCATTGAATACATCAACATGAACACCATACAAATAATGACATCATTTCTTCAAAGCAAATACTACTACAACCAACTCTAAGTCATGGGTTGGGTAATTCTTCTCATGAACTTTCAACTATCTGGAGGCATAAGTTATAACCTTGCCATTCTGCATTAATACACAACCAAAACCAACTCTAGATGCATCACAATACAACACAAAATCTTGAGTACCTTCTAGTAAGGTCAAAATTGGGGCAGTAGTCAACCTCTTTTTCAATTCCTGAAAGCTTTTCTCACAAGCTTCAGACCATTGAAACTTCACTGTCTTCTGAGTTAACTTGGTCAAAGAGGATGAAATGGATGAGAGCCTGTCTACGAACCTTCTATAATAGCCAGCCAAACCCAAGAAACTCCTAATATCAGTTGGAGATGTGGGTCTAGGCCAATTCTGCACTGCCTCTATTTTCTGAGTATCAATTTTAATTCCCTCTCCAGACACAATGTGGCCTAAGAATGCCACAGACTCAAGCCAAAAGTCACACTTAGAGAACTTGGCATACAACTCTCTATCCTTTAGAGTTTGGAGAACTATTCTGAGATGACTAGCATGATCTTCTTCATTCCATGAATAGATTAGTATGTCATCAATGAAGACAATAACAAACATATCTAAATAAGGCTTGAATACTTTATTCATAAGGTCCATGAATGCTGCAGGCGCATTGGTCAAACCAAAGGACATAACCAGGAACTCATAATGACCATAACGGGTCCTGAAAGCTGTCTTTGGAATATCACATTCCCTTACTCTTAACTGATGGTAGCTTGATCTGAGGTTTATCTTAGAGAAGCAAGTGGCACCCTGAAGTTGATTGAAAAGATCATCAATCTTTGGAAAAAGATATTTATTCTTTATGGTAACCTTGTTCAATTGACGGTAATCTATACACATCCTAAGGGAACCATCCTTCTTTCTCACAAACAAGACCGGAGCGCCCCAAGGTGAGGCACTTGGCTGAATGAAACCTTTCTCTAAGAGATCTTTCAACTACTCTTTAAGCTATTTCAACTCTGTTGGTGCCATTCTATATGGCGGAATAGATATAGGACAAGTATCTGGAAGAATGTCTATATCGAAGTCTATTTCTCTCTTAGGAGGGACTATGGGAAGATCATCAGGAAAGACTTTTAGAAACTCTCTTACTACTGAAACTGACTGAATAAAAAGTATATCAACACTAGAGTCATTAACCCGGACTAAGTGATAGACACACACCTTGGAAACTAACTTTCTTGCCTTAAGGTACGAAATAAAATGACCCTTAGGCACTGCTGAACTACTTTTCCACTCTAAGACTGGCTCATTAGGAATTTGGAACTTGACAACTCGAGTTCTACAATCAATGGAATGAAGCCAGTACATACCTAGAATGACGTCGAAGTCTACCATGTCTAACTCAATTAAGTCAGCCATGGTGTCTTTGTGATTGATGGAAACGGGACAATCACAATAGACTCTTTCTACTAGAATAGACTCACCAACAAGTGTGGAAACACTGAAGGGATTGCTAAGTTGCTCGGGTATAACATCGAAATTCATAGCAACATAAGGAGTTACAAATGATAAACTTGCTCCTAGGTCTAGTAAAGCATAAACATTAAAGTTAAAGACTTGGATCATACCAGCGATAACATCTGGTGAATCCTTTTGCTCTTGCCGACTAGTGACAGCATAAAGACAGTTTCCTCCTCCGCCTGCCTCTAAAGTAGCTTCTCTAGATGCAACTTTGTTTGGCGGAGCAACTGAAGAAGACTGGGATTCCCATTACCTTTCTAGTTCTTTGAACATTCTCGCATGAAATGACAATTCTGGCCACTCTTGAAACATCTAGTGGAGCCATCACGACACATACCTGAGTGGTTCCTACCACACTTAGCACATACAGGAATCTTAGTACCCCCTTGTGCCATACTACCTTGTGACTGTGCAGGTCTAGCTCTGAAATTCTCGAAATTCTGACTATTATACTCACCTTTGTTTCTAGGTGCAAGTGCACTAGCAGATGATGGAGCAGGTCCCTTTTGCTTATGTTAGAAACAAGACCGGTTCACATTACTCTTTTGTTGCCCGGACTCATTCCCTGATATCTTAGCCGTCTTATTCTTAAACTCTTCTCTATCCCTCAGCTTGTCCCCTTCAATTTGTTGCACATGGATCATTAGCCTTCTCTTTTTAACATCACTTCACTACTAATAGACTTCTGAAAAGATATCTCCCATACTTTTTGGGACTCATTACTATCTTATTCTCAAGCACTTGACTTGATTTCTCATCTCGTCATCTCCCCCTTAGGTCTAAAGCTGACACTTGAACCTGTGAAGCTTGGATGATTCATCCTAAAGAACTCATGAACTCTAGAAGTATCAGCCACTTCCTGATGATTCTCTCTCCGTTGCCCAGCTTGGTTGGTCACAACTTGGCTCAACATCTGAATGGCCTCACGGAACTCAACACTGGTGACCTCTCCTTGGGTTTGCACTTCTGGTGCATTAGGTACCCTTTTTTCCTGTGGTTCAACATACCTTCTAGCCGAATGACCTTTGACAATTCTTCGTGGAGGCATGATCTGAAAGACACACGCAAGCACGAATTGGAAGAAACTTTATAGAGATTAACTCTATCACACGAAATGAATGTGAAAGAAGTGAGAAATTTTCTTAAGTGTTGCAGCCTCTTAATTATAGATGTGGCGCGCTTTGCACCAATAACTAGGACTCTACACACATGACTTCATAGGCTCCCAAGGACTCTTGAACTCTGTGCTCTGATACTAAGTTTGTCACGCCCCGAGCCTACACCCCGGACGTGGCTGGCACTCGAGAATCATTGTTGGCCCCAAGCGAACCCTTGGCCTGACTTACTTACTCAGTGGAAGACTCTAAGCATTAT